TATCCTTTTCACTCTCTCTCACTTTCCCTATTTTTCACTCTCTCTTCACCTACATCTCGCTCTCTCGGTGCATGGTGCTGGCTGGAATAGGTGTCCCCCTAACTCTGGGGCATCAAAATACACCACTGTAAATTACTCTCTCACTCTTTTTCACTCTCTCTCTCTTTTATTATTTACATTTATTTGTATTTCAATTAGGCAATTAAGATTTAACAATAATAATAATCATAATAATAATAATTTCTACCGGTAAAAGATGGGACTAAACTGATCTAAGATTCTTTTTGAATTTTAGCATGTATGTGATCATTGAATTCACTGCTATGGGAGAGGTGGAGGCTGTCACGGACACGTGGGTCAAAGAAGATGGGAGCGTGCTATGGCCACCACATTCCAGCAGGAGCATAAAAACGCTGATAAAAAATCTTGGCGCCCCAAAGGAGTGTTGCGAAACATTCCAAATACGGCAGCTAACCATTGCAAGTAAGTTACTTGAAAAGAATGAAATGGCTGCCTGTAACTGTTAAATTCATGTGTTTTCAATACCATATTCGTGTATTTTACAAGCTTTTATCATAAACTTGTCATATTGTGAGCATAAAAATCCTTTGTACTTTGCCTGTTATTTGCTGTAATAAGAAATGTCTACCACAGGTTGCAAATGAAGTTGCAACCAATGTCTAATTGCTAAATGTAAAATTGGTATTGGGTCACCTCAAACTGCAACAATTTCAAACCCTATATTTACATAATTCATCATTCAGGTAATTATGAGAAGGCTTGGCAAAGAAGGCTGGCTGGAAGGAAGGAAGGCAAGCTTAGAAAGGCCGAATATACGTCCGACCTGCAGTCAGAGGAGGACTGCGACACACAGAAAAGAAAGAAAAGGTAAGCAGCATTTATTATACTTTTCTGTAATAATGAATTTATAAATTCTCCAATATTGATTTGGTGTAACTGTGGATGTGTTGAAAATTTGTATTAATGATGATTGATTGTTCATTGTACGGTTCAAATAGCCGTATATTTAGAGTATTTTACACAAATAACATGCTGTCTCACTACTTTATAGGCCTACTTTAAGGTACATCGCTGAATCGGACAGTGACCTGGATGATTCTCACCGGCAAAAAAAGAAAGCAACGGAGAGAGATGCTCTGCCGCTTTCACCATCACCACCACTAATGCTGAGAAAGAGTAAGCCTGTGGCTGAGGAGGCAGTACAGGAGGCACGCCAGAGAGCTACATGCTCAGGTAAAACATTTCAGATCTATTCAGATAAATTATAGGCCACCACTTAATTACCGACACTAGCGAAAAGGACTGAAAATTCTATTAGCCCTTAGAGATTTCTACTAGCTTCGAGTAAATAAGATAGCAATAGTTTCAAGCCCTGTTATATACCTAAAGTTACTGCCAAAATAAATTATGCGTAATGTTCTGATATTTTAGCAGTGGAACGGCAGCTGATGCTCATGATTGAGGCAATGCGTGATGACGTAGCACAAAACCGAAAAATTCTACACCAGCTGCTGAAGGGTGCACGAGAGGGACCGGAGTACGCATTACCAGCAGCAGTAAAGAGTCTGCTACCAATAGCCTCCATGGAAGATGTGGAGAACATCGAACTATCGCTACAGGATACTGCTGTAGAAACCGCAATGGTAAGAGATTATATTATTTAACTCGTTCATGCGAAAAATGTCACTTTCATAAAAGAAGGGACATTAGAGAATTTCGTAAAAGCCTGCATGTGTTAATATAGCCATATACTGTTTGGTTGTAAGTTATTTTCTCAAAATAATCAACCTAAATAATAAATCTGATATTGTTAATGTCTTATATTAATTATAAATATGTCAGACGTTTACTACTTTACTTTAACCCCTATGCATTTTAATTTAGATTGCATATCTCCATGAAACGGGAGGAGGATCAACTAAGGAAATTGTGCGGCGTATCATGAGGATCCCCATGACGACTGAGCTTGCCACCCAATTTACCTGTTAGGGAAAAGGAGCCAAGAGAGGCTTCAAAAACCTGAAGCTTGCAAGCATAGTTAGAGGTACGTAAGCTATACTGCAGTGTTGCATATAACTGTTTACTGTTTCATGATAACTGTGAAAGATGTTGCCTCTTGGTTATTATCAATGAAGTTAGTTTCAAGCAGATTTCTTAGCAACCCCATACTTGGTATGACAAGATTACAAGATATTTCAATTATTTACAAGATTTAACATAATGCGATGATGCGGCAATTGAATGCGACACCTGTACTCATTGGTTCCACTGCAAGTGCCAAGAGGTGTCCGACGCAACATACGAGGTCATCAGAGAAGGGAACTCAGGGGTAGCATGGTACTGCAGAGGGTGTCGGCGAGAAGTAAAAAACCTATCTGACATGTTTAAAATCATGATAACAAGACAGATAAAGACGGAAGAAATGTAGAAACGCTGATGGCCACACAGGTTGACATGAAGAACACAATTAAAGAACTAGAAACAAAGGTGGACCGCCTCCAAAACAATTCGGCATCTGCAACTGAAATCATCAGAGAACTCAAGGAACGCGAGAGATGCCAAACTTCACTGATGCTCTTTAATATCCCGGAGAGTGATGCAACGGTACCCGCAGACAGGGTCAGCCACGATACCATGGAGCTTAGCAAATTCATCACAGATAATCTACAGGTCGAGGTCTTAAACGTCAAACAAATAACTAGGGTCAGGGCAAAAAATGAGGATGGGGCTTTTCGGCCTATGAAAGCAACCGTCGAGGAAAATTCCCTCCAAACTAATGCAGGCACTAAAGAAACTAGACATTTCAACAAAAAACTAACAGTTAGCAATGGCCTGAAAATTTGTTGCTCTGAAACAGCTCCATTTCTGAGAAATTCATCAGTGTTTGAATTGGCGACATATCACTAATCCTAACAGTTATTAGAACCCTACAAAAGCACAAGTGAATGACAATAACTTTAAAGCAATGGAGCTGATCGTGTAGATCTACTTAGTAAGTTAATTATGCTGAACATGCAATAGCAGGGTATTCAGTTAAGTGTAGATTTTATCTAGATCTAACTTTTTAGAACTAGACCAGGGTCTAAGTTAGATTCTCAGACTGTGGGACTCGTTTCATCATTAGGAATAGGAGCAGTCTTAACATAAATTTTAATTGAAGTAGTAAGTCGTAACCTAATACAGATAAGAAATCTAAAAAGGGTGAACCCATGGTCATGGACCGGCCAAACGTGGGTCAGAAGAAAGTATTATAAGTCTACGTGTAAAGTATGTAACGCATTTAATATAATAACTGACAAAGTATCTGATCTCGAAAGGGGTTGCAAGATCCCCCTTAACCCCCTTCCCCCTTTGTAACAAGGTACAAGTTATTACATTTTTAAGTGTTGTTTTGTCTTATGCACAACAATAAAAACATGGGATTGATGAGGTAACTTCTGGGGACAGCAATGAGGTATTGTGTGTGAGCGTGTGTGTGCGGGGGGATGTCTGAAGAACCTCTCCCACGTGGTATATCTAAAAAAGGTTTATTTAATGTAATTTTTCTTCATAACTTTGTGTTGTAACACTATTTGGCGCAGACGCATGTAGCATGTAGGAAAATGATGAGGGTAAAATTCAACCCACTGTACATGTACACCTAGACTATGTTCTTTCTCCTGAGCATGTTTGTTCCATATGGGCGTAGGATCCATTGGGTACATGAATTCAACCCGCCAATAAGATCGAATGTACCTGATGAAAACCTAGAAATACAAGGCCAAAAGCTTGCCAATCCTTAAAGGTGCCGTGCACAACTATAGCCACGTCCATCTTTTTCTGTTATTCCGATTATAAATATGTTTCATAATATTTTTCCAATTGTTATTATGTAGGTATTGGCTAGGTGCGCGGCCCGTGTCGCATAGAATAATGATTACGGTCCCATATGTAGTGTTAGATGTTTGCTGAAGATTGCGCTGAAGCAATATCTATTTGCTTCTTTCAGGTCAATGGTGCAAGTTTTTTCCAAGATGCTGAAATAATCTGATGTATCGAGTGGCACATTGAATCATGTCAGTACCAAGGCATTCTTATTCTTTAGCTTCAACGAAGACTAGTCAATATCTTTCATAAATGACCAAGAAAATAAAATAAAATTGTTACACTACATTACTTAGATGAAATGGATTAGATCAATGAGTAGTAGATGAAATGATAATTAGACCACAAAAACACCAATTCATTTAATAAAGAAATTTCTCTTTCTCCAGCCGTCAGTTATGCTGCCATCTTTGTTCAAAAAGAAGCCCCAGAAGAAGCAGCGTTCTGCTGCTGTTGCTGCCCAGTATTCCAAGAAGAAGCGCTGCCCCCCAGGCAAGGCCATCACAAAGATGGTTGTGTGTGTGGTTAATCCAACCGTAAAAGGGAATGGAACCATTCCAGTACTAACGCCATCCAAGATGACTGAATTTACCATCAGTGGGCTGTCTAGCAACGTGAGGCTGTCCAAAGACATGTCTGCTGATGAGGTGGAGGAAGAAATACAGTCATGTTTCTGTGAAACCATCACAGCTCTAGAATTCAAATACCTCAAGGTAAATCATGTCTGCTGATGAGGTGGAGGAAGCTAATTCCCTGTTCAGCTTTGAATTAATGTAATGGCTGGTGCATGCAAAAATCCTTGTCTTTCAAGGGTCTTAAATAGCATAACCCCTCTTCTCACCATAACTGAACAGGAAGAAGGATTTTCGATTAGCAAATGTTAATGTATGATACAATGCATCATTCTGTGATATGTGCACATGTATGTGTTTGTGGAGACAATTATATTAGACAGTGCAAAATACAGGTTAAGCACTGTTTTGTGATTATAGTCAACAATAGCACAGCTTAGCACGTGATATGTTAGCAACAATAGCGGGCTATGGATTAAGAACTGGAAATAGTATAAACTAGTTACTGGAATATGGAAAAATAAATCATGGTGTTTTGCTCATTATCAAATTGGCTTCATCTTGTGAAGCCTGAAGGTCAAGAATATGTAGGTACTTAGATTATAAATTTAGTTGGACTTTCAAGGGACTGTGAATTCGCTCAGTTTTCATGTGTACATAAAGTATATTGCTGTTTCAATTGTTCTTTTCAGATGCTCCCGGGCAGCAAGTGGCTGACAGAGCCGAAGGTGAGCAAGTCAATCACATTCAGTAGAGAAGAGGTGCTCAGAATTTGTGGGCAGGGCAAGCTGTACATCAAAACTGAACAAATGCCTGTCAAGAATCTAGTGAGTTCACATCTTAATTAGATAATTACTTACCTTACATGGCATTTAACTTATAAAATATTTACATTTAGCATCAAATTGAAAAAAACACCTTGATATTGAAGTCATTCCCTGTAGAATCTTGGCCCTCCACACTAAAACCTTTGATGTATGCATGTAATACTTAGAATTACAATCTATTTATTTACATCTCGTTGACTTCAAGATGAATAAAATGCAGACTTTATCATGACTGTGAACAAGCTGGGATCTGGGAGGGAAACTTTAACCAGATTAACGCAGTACGTTAGCACAATTTCTGGTTCCCAGACAAGATCGATGAATTCAATCCGATTAAACCATAACAAATTAAAAGTTCACCAACTTGCACACCAACATTATCAACTTGCTAGCTGGTATATGTTGCATGATGAACTTCAATACCATGATTTGCCCGTATGATACAGTAATTAACCAAATGGTTGAACCAAATATTACAATTTGTGTAATTTGGGTTGTTCCACAGGCAACCTTGATTACACCTATTAAGGGCACCCGCTGTGTGTAAAATTAATAGGAATATTTCACTTGGGTTATGAGAGGGTTTGCCTTGTTCATTAAAAACATATTTTTGGTCGCTACGTGTAGGCCAACACTGATGATGATAATTTACCTGCTGTAAGCCTCAGCAGCACTACAAGCACCCACCATCAGCCTCATCCTCGCTCCACTCATCATGGGCGCAACCACTGAGGGGTCGGGGGGGGGTCACGACCCCACAACTTTTATGTGGACCTCCCCAACTTTTGGAGACCTTGTTTTCTGGGGAAGTCCGAAATAGTCCGATAAGCATTTATTATCACGTGTTTTTGCTCATGCCTACCATCAGTCAATGACAAAAAGGGCCACATGCATAATTTCTGATCACCGAACCAGAGTGAACACAATGCGCTCAAATACAATGCACTAAATCACAATGCAGTTTTTTCAGCACAACGTTCGTGTGTTGACTGTTGACTGTTGAGTGTTCACTGTTGTGCTCATGTGCTGATAATCGTAATCAAAACATTTCTATCTGACATGGATATTAAAAGATTTTTGAAAAAACGTAGACGTACAGAAGATTTTAATGATGATGATTTTGATGATGATGATGATGATTTTTTATAATCATGAGGTATCCCCATCATGTTCTGCCGGAGAAACCAGTGCTGGGGTCATTGAACGGACTCAGGAATCGTCAGATGAGGGTCAGGCCGAAGTTGAAAAAAGCAACTCCAACGACAGTGAGGCTCCAACAACTGATACTCATAAGGTTACAACATGTACAAAGCTACAGCTACCGTTGCATGTATTATATTTGCTTTATTATTTCAGTAGGGGAGAGCGGGGAGAAATGGGACACAATTTTTTATGTTTTTTATTGTAAGCATAATTCTTACATAGAATAATTATTATGTTATATTCTTAGTGTGGTGTAGCGGTTAGTATATATTGTTATGTAGAGTTGTTCCGTTTATAGTTTTAGTTGACGATAGATGGCGCTGGCGTGCGTGTTGTGAGGGGGGAAGTGACGCTGGAGAGAGGGAGGAAGTCGTTTTTGGCAAATCAACGTGTGTTTGTGAAAGAACTGAATATATAAGTATAACTGCATTTGGAGTGTTGCTGTTATTTGAAATACTTGCGTGAGCGTTCGACAACCACAAGACAGGGGCCTGAACCCCGAGGGACTGGTATTTATACTGAT